ACACTGAACATCAGCAGCAGCAGCAGACCTGTTTTCACTGCTGTAAAAAAAATAAATAAACAACCTCATAAATCCTCTTGGATTTAGTATTATCATACAAGCTGCACAGCACATTTTTGCAGTGTATTAGTGCACTATCTGAGGTTGTAACCATAGAAACCAGTTTGAGGTACATCACTGGCCTTTCCATCATTTGAAACGGAGAGAGCGTGACGTCAAAGTGACCACAGTTTTCCCTCTGTGGGAGTTTTTCCTTTTATTCAGAGCGGCGAGGGGCAAGCTTGACAGATAACAGGGTGAGTCATCGGCAGCATCATGCACCTCGATGAGGAAGTTTGCTCAGCCACAATGCATGTATCACATTCATCTGTAATGAATTCATAATCTATCCATGACACAGGTCGGAAGAGCTTCTCGTCCTTATCACCACAATCCATACGAACACAAGAAGAGGGAAACATTTGTTCAGTCAGTCATAATACGAGAAATAAAACCACGTCACGCAAACGTCAGATAGTAAAAGCACGGTGGGCCTCGTCAATGTAGATTAGACATTTGTTTAACTTCTGTAGTTTGTTATTGAAAGTTGTGGAAGTAGGTCACAGTGAAATTTGAAAGAAAATAACTGACGAAATTAGTTTTGAGGGTGTGTATAAAATATTGTTGTATTTTATATTACTTTGTATTATATTATTATGTTGTTTATGTCTGGTTTCAGACCAGTATAAATAGGTCTGGGGTTGTGCTCATTGACGACGGCTTCTCACAATTGAAGAAAGCCAATCGCAGGTTTGTAGGCAGGATTAAAAAATGGTGACATTATCTTCCTGTGCCATAGCCAGATAAAGAGACTAACACTTTCCACAAAAATGGACACAAATGTGGATGAGATCCACACGTTGACTTTCAGAAATGACAGAGACTCAGATGCAGACCGCAAATGTCTCGTATCTTCAAACAGCCCTCCTGCAGAAGGTCTCATTGACCTTTTCTCTGGTTTGGAACATGAGGCAACTATCAGGGTAATTTCTCTGCAAGATGGTTGGGAACAGAGGAAAAATTACAAAAATGACTCACAACTCACTGTGATATACTAAATGCAATATTATTGCAGAGGTATGTGGGGTTTGTAAACACTTTCTAATTAATTAAACACATTTTTAGGTCTCGGGAAGGCAGTGTATGTCGGTCTGTGCAGCATTTTGGTCAACATCGCAACATCTCGACAAGTGTTTGATTAATCTTTGTGAAATTCTGTGGACATTAATGGTCCTCAGAGGATGAATCCTAATGACTTTGGGGATCCCCGGACTTTTCATGTAGTAGCATCAGCAGGTTGACAGTTTTGGTTCAAAGGAAATATCTCAACAACATATGGTTCACATATTCATGTCACCCTCGGGATGAGTTGAAATAATTACTGAGAGAAATAGAGATACATACTTTTTCTGTAAATTGTAAACAATAATACAGAAATTGTGAGAAATTGTGCAAATATGCCGAAATAAATATTGAAATTATATCTTATTTGTTATTTCTGTATATACACAGTATATATATATATATATATATATATATATTAAATCATATTAAATCATACACATGTGATAAATTCTTCTAAAATAAATGACACTCATGAGATGAATGACACACTCATCAGCTTTAGTGTTCTTTGTGCTGCCAATTAGCAAATGTTAGCATGCTAACAAGCTTGCCTTTTGATGAAAAGAACTACAGAAGTGGCAACCTTGCTGGTAGCTACATCTCAATAAAATATATATAAAATATTAACACTGATATGATGATTCAAATTTGAAATGTAAAATGTGTTTTTTTTTTAACTGAACTAATAACCAACTACTCCAAATATGTAACAACGCAGCAAACCCGCTAATTGACTACCAAACTAGCAGCATCTGCGTGAATCCAGCAGATATTTTGGCGCGTCATGGCAGGAAGGTCCCATCAGAAATGGCTTCATTCCATTTAGGTCGCACAGGGTCCTGATATTGTGCATCCTGGCTCACTAGCTTTGCTTAAGGGACACTTGTTTCACCTGAATCTAATTAGACAGTGGTGGAGCTTGTATCCTGATATAAAATCAATAAATTCATGTTTAAGAACGATCTTGTTTGTGTGTTAAGTGAATGAGTCTCTTTAAGACCAGCAGAGAGAGGCTGGTAGGAGGCCGGTTCTGCAGCTCAGTGTTAGGAAAACCTGGACCCGGGCTTAAGTTGCAGGTTCAGGTTTCATTGGGATCTTGTGGAGGTATCTCACCCTGCTGACCAGCCTCCGCTTCCTGTTTGCACTAATAAGGCCCTGGGGGCTCATTGGCTGAGCTCAGCGCCGCAGCACACTGGTGTGGTGCTAATCGCCAATGACCCACATGACACCGTAAACCTCATAGATCTGTCAGTGCACTACATTCTCAGATTAGTTTCGACAGCTTGCCAGTCATGCCCATTTTGTTTAATGCTGGTGAAGGACGCTCAACTCCCAGTGACTCGCATTATTTCAGACATGAATCCTAACTCTGCGTTCCGTATACTGTGGTGGTATTCTGCTTACTGCGTGTGCTGCTGAGCTTAATGGCATAATCCTTCAAAGGTCACCTGTTGAATCCTGCATGTGAAAAATTGTCAGGCAGTGAGCAGGCAGTGTGTGTGTGTGTGTGTGTGTGTGTGTGTGTGTGTGTGTGTGTGTGTGTGTGTGTGTGTGTGTGACTTGTGTTTCCTTTGTAGGATAACGCATCATTTGGGATTCATGAAGTTTTGATGTGGCACATTTGGTTTGAGCAGTTAGCACTGAAGCAGCTGCGCCTGCATCGATTAATAACAAATGACTCATCACTTCTCATTTAATGTATCCGGATCTGTGCGAGTAATGAGAGGTGAAGTGGGTGTTTCCTCTGTACGAAAAAAAATAAATCAACATTTAATGATGATAATGAGTAATGGTTTTGCTGCTGAGTTACTATTTACCAACCAAGCACTGTCACGGTTTCAGATTATGGGACTTTTTCCGTGAACTGACATACTGAGCCAGGTTTCTCATTCCATCGCTTCTGCTCTGGGTAAGACATCGAGCTCAGTATAAACTCGTTTCAAAGCACAAACATTTAGTGTGCATTATTCAGTAACTTAAAATAAAAAGTGGCTTTGGAGATCAATTCTTAGAAGTCCATTTTTATCTGCAGCCAGGCACTATCAGAAGGCAGGACGCTGTGTGTGTGTGATTGTTATAATGTATGCCACACACCGTTGCGTAACACGCAGCCCTCGGAATATTGTGTAATATTTTCAGATAAGGGTAGAGAAAAGCGTGCAAGGACAACGACAGTATGTCCATGTGCTGTACAAGCTGTGCAGTGGATCATTTGGTGATGGTGTCACATTCTTAGTACGCCAGCAAAACGCACGACATTAGCACGTAACGAGGATCTGTTTCTAATCACCAGATGTGCAGCATGAGGCCCGTTTTAGAAAGACTAACATTACCTGGTGCGACCCAAGCCATGTGCTGTATGTTCTTTATAAATGAGTCAACTGTCTTCTTCTCTGCTGCTCTTGAAAGCCTGTTACACAAGTCTTCTCTGATCCTTAGTAAACATGCTGTGGTATGCAAAAACAAGTCGACCAGGACTAAACGCTACTGTCAAAAATAGTTCTGACCGGCTTCTAAAAGACCTGAATCTACTTATTGATGGCCCTAAATGCTAGCATCTCTGAACGCTATACTTCCTCCGGTCCTGAGCGCAGGGATCCGGCTCAGGTTTCTGAGGCCTCGGCTCAGCTGCTGGTTTCACACTCCTGTGACAGTGGACAAGGTCTCCACAGAGGAGAGGTGAAAGGGGAATCTGATCCCACAGTCTCCCAGTAACAGGGGATACAACTAATTCTGTTCGACAGACATAAATTGTTTCATTGACACAACCAGTATGAATAATTCATGACCTTTCACAACTCCCTGTACTAGCCCACTCAAACAGTCACTGGTGGGGTCTGCAGGAAGCTGAACTGCCTTTTGCATGATTTCTATAGAGTTCACTAAACTGACAGGATCTACTTTAAAGTTAGATTTTGCTTTTTATCGTTACGATTATAGGTTTTATTACAGTTAAAAAGCAACTAATCATGTTTGTGTCTTTAAACATGAAATATGCAGTATTCTTTTAATTGTTTTTGTCTTTGTTACAATCAATAATAGCCCTCTTCAAAATCAGCTTTTAAAAAATATGCTCAAGCTGTCGTATTCATTCTCTCTCTCTCTCTCTCTCTCTCTCTGTCTCTCTAACACACACACACACACACACACACACACCTTTGGAACCAGAGCCTCCACAGCGTAACTGATAATGGACCATTGTGTGCCATATGGTCACAGGAGCCAGATGATTGAAAACCAAATTAACTTTCCTTCTGAGTGACTCTCGAGTAAGATGAAGCCGTCGCTGCCTCACAGGTTCATACCGATTTCAAATTCTTGTCTGCTTTAAATGAGCCGGAGTCACTCAGACGTCTTTTAAATGTGTTGATTTTAAGGTGTGAGTGAGCTGTTGGATACGGTGAAATGTAATAGAGCAACTAAAAGAACACAAATGTTGTTACAGTTTGTACATTAGTTTCTGATATCACAAATATTTTGTATTTATGCTCATGTGTTTGTCGAAATACATTCGAAACATTCAAGAAGAGGCCGTGACAAAAGACAAGAGTCATCCCTGGATCTCTTAGTTTTTAATATAACCACCGCAGATGCGTCTATATGGCCACCATTAAACACTGTATTATGGACACAATCATCAAATGTCATGCGCAAGTTACAAAGCTTTGAGTTTCTTCTGCAGGATGTTGACCAGCTTGCTTCTGCTTTTCTTGAAGCTGTCAGCAATCAGATTGATTTCTTGATTGATTTAAATAATCTTTGATGCTCTTGGCTCTTTTACTCTCAGCCCTGAGTGATATTGATTATGTGTTTGTTTGTTGTCTGTTTACGTGCAGGGAGCCTGATATTCCAGCCTGGGCTCCTTTACTCTACCAGCTCCAGCTGCTGGATGTCAGAGAGAAACCGGACCCGTTAACTCTGCCCATCGCAGACTGCATCCGCATTGGCAACCAGAAACGAGAGCGAGGAAACTTTCATTTCCAGAGGGAGGAATACAGCATGGCTGTCAGAGCCTATTCTATGGCTCTGGATGTGTTAACCACACGCAGCAGAGGTAACCTATCGTCAAAACCTGAATTCATTCATAGGAAATATATTCTGTTTCTATTACTGTCGTCTGTACCAGGACTGTGTTGTAGTAATTGACATGAGCATTATCTTCACAGAAAAAAAGTGAAAATAGAAATAGAACACAGATAAAAATGAACACACGAGAGAAACATAAAAACGCAGGATTTGAGAGAGACCTTAAAAACAACATTTCTACATGAGCCCATAGTGACATAAGACTTTAGTGCTCTCCTGCAGTCTGCCAACACACTAATCACACTGTCACCATGCAGAGTCACATCTATCTGAGCCCGGCGCCACGATAAATGCTTTTGCTTAATTCTTTTGCATAATCAAAGCTAATCAACGTTCATATTATTTCCACCTCCTTAATCTTTCTAATCATTGACGAGGCAGGGAGGGCCCGAGAGGGAAATGTGAATGAACAATGAGGAGAAAAACATGGATTGCTTCATAATGCATCAATGATAGAGGACCAGAGAGTGAACCCACGGTGACACTGGAGAGAGAAGTTTATCAGGGCATCGAGATCATGTGATTAGTGGATGAGAAGATCACCAGAAAAATAATAATAAAAACGAGAAGGAAGCAGAAATATCAACATCTTAACCTCTTTTTGGGTCATTTTGGGTCATTTTGGGCCCATCAGACCTATTTTACAAATATGATTCATGACAGGTGGAAATTACAAATAATCTTAATTGATTAACCTGGAATCATATGCAACTAAACATGCACTCGCATAAACATTAGACTTGATCACACTCAATTTTCTGCAGATCTTCAACAAGAATTGTACAGGTCACTGTCTTAATGGAAGTAAATCAAATGTTAGTCGGGATTAAGTTTAAAATCATTTTAACCGCATCTCAATTTTAAATCTATAGGGCATTACAACAAAAAATAAAAATAGGAAAGACATTTTGATAACACTTTCTATGGCTCCAATGTCTAATTCACATTTATATGTTGTATTATAATACAATGACTTAGTTATAATGTATTTACAATCTGCTTAGCACTGTATACTAATAGTTATAAGCAATCATACCACAATGCTTTAAAATAAATCACAACACATAAAACATAATGACTATATAGTAACTGCCAAGTATCATGATATTTGATAATTGAATGTCACTCACTGACACTTTTCAAGGATCAGATTGAATTATAATTTCCATAGCTGTTATAGATTATAATCATTTTATAATGCAGTATAAATAATATCATTAAATCTATGCAAGAACAACACTAATTTATTTGTTTAACAGTTTATAACTGCCCTGCCCCCAAGAAAAACACTCTAAAGACTCAAAATATTGTCTCAAAATATAGATACCTAAAACTGTCTTTACCTGAAGCTGTAGATAACAGGTATTTATTTGACTCAATGTAGTGTTTAGAGTGAATTCTTTGGGGAAGCATTAGATTATCGACATGTAAATGTCCATCCGTCAGGTGAGTCAAATTAGAGTACCTTACCAGTACTCAGTTTATTGTGTTATGATCCCTCAATTTACTTAAAGCAAATAACTTATAATCACATTATAATGCAACGTAAAATGTATTATTACTATGGGAATTATAGTACACGATAACAAATTGTCAGAGTTACCAGCAATTATGAAGAATTATAATACCTGACCTGATTAAATGATTTATAATGTGTCAGCCCGAATAAACACCATGGAGCAGCCACCCTGTGGACCCACCACCCGCAGGGATAAGCATCGGGGTCGGGTGCAATGCAGACCGGGCGGCGGGTCAGGCGGGAGGCCTGGGCGAGCCGATCGCCGGCAGCATAGACTAACTCTAGGGACGTGGAACGTCACCTCGCTAGCGGGGAAAGAGCCAGAGCTGGTGCGGGAGGTGGAGCGGTACCAGCTAGATATAGTTGGACTCACCTCCACACACAGCGTTGGCTCTGGAACCAAGCTCCTGGAGAGAGGTTGGACTTTGTCCTTTTCCGGAGTTGCCCAGGGTGAGAGGCGCCGGGCGGGAGTGGGGATACTCACGAGCCCCCGGCTGAGCGCCGCTGTGTTGGAGTTGCGCCTACGGGTTGCGGGGAGCAAGGCTCTGACTGTGGTTTGTGCTTATGCACCAAACAGCAGTTCAGAGTATCCGGCCTTCTTGGAGTCGGTGGGAGGGGTCCTGGAAAGGGCGCCGCCTACCGACTCCATAGTTCTCCTGGGGGACTTCAACGCTCACGTGGGCAATGACGGAGAAACCTGGCGGGGGGTGATTGGGAGGAACGGCTTGCCCGATCTGAACCCGAATGGTGTTTTGTTATTGGACTTCTGTGCGTGCCATGGTTTGGCCATAACGAACACCATGTTCGAACATAAGGTGGCTCATAAGTGTACCTGGTACCAGAACACCTTAGGCCGGAGATCAATGATCGATTTTGTAATCGTATCATTTGATTTGCGGCCGTATGTCTTGGACACTCGGGTGAAAAGAGGAGCAGAGCTGTCAACTGATCACCACCTGGTGGTGAGTTGGATCAGATGGCAGGGGAACCGGTTGGAAAGGCCCGGCAAGCCCAAACGTGTAGTGAGGGTGAACTGGGAACGTCTGGCGGAGGACCCTGTCCGGGAGGTCTTTAACTCCCACCTCCGGAAGAACTTCTCACACATCCCGAGGGAGTTTGGGGACATGGAATCCGAATGGACCATGTTCAAAGCCTCTATTGTGGACGCGGCCGCTAGTAGCTGTGGCCGGAAGGTCATCGGTGCCTGTCGTGGCGGCAACCCGAGAACCCGGTGGTGGACACCGGAGGTGAGGGAAGCCGTCAAGCTGAAGAAGGAGACCTTCAAGGCCTGGTTGGCCCAGGGGTCTCCCGAAGCAGCTAACAGGTACCGGCAGGCCAGAAGGGCTGCAGCTGCGGTGGTCGTGAATGCTAAAACTCGGGCATGGGAGGAGTTTGGGGAGGCCATGGAGAAGGACTTTCGGTTGGCCTCAAGGAGGTTCTGGCAAACCATACAACGGCTCAGGAAGGGAAAGCAGGGCTTACCCCAGGCTGTTCTCAGCAGGGGGGGGGGGGGACTGCTGACCCGGACAGGGGACATCGTCGGGCGGTGAAAAGAGCACTTTGAGGAACTCCTAAACCCGACCAACATGTTCTCTGCAGAGGAGGCAGCGCCTGAAGATCTAGGGGGAGGCTCACCCATATCCCTGGCAGAGGCCGCTGAGGTAGTCAAAAAGCTCCTCGGTGGCAAGGCGCCAGGGGTGGATGAGATCCGCCCTGAGATGCTGAAAGCGCTGGACATGGTTGGGCTGTCCTGGCTGACACGCCTCTTTAATGTCGCATGGGGGTCAGAATCAGTGCCCATGGACTGGCAGACCGGGGTGGTGGTTCCCATTTTCAAAAAGGGGGACCGGAGAGTGTGCTCGAATTACCGGGGTATCACACTACTCAGCCTCCCGGGGAAGGCTTATGCCAGGGTGCTGGAAAGGAGGCTCCGACCGTTTGTCGAACCTCAGATTCAAGAGGAGCAATGCGGATTCCGTCCCGGCCGTGGAACAGTGGACCAGCTCTTTACCCTCGCAAGACTACTGGAGGGGTTCTGGGAGTTTGCCCAACCAGTCTACATGTGCTTTGTGGACTTGGAGAAGGCTTTCGACCGGGTCCCTTGGGGGTTCTTGTGGGGGGTGCTGCGGGAGTATGGGGTGCCGGACCCATTACAACGGGCGATCCGGTCTCTGTACGACTGCAGTAGGAGCTGTGTCCGCATTCTTGACAATAAGTCAGACACGTTCCCGGTGGGTGTTGGCCTCCGCCAGGGCTGCCCTTTGTCTCCGGTCCTGTTCGTGACTTTCATAGACAGGATATCTAGGCACAGCCGGGGGGTGGAGAACGTCAGGTTCGGGGGTCTCGGGATCGCCTCTCTGCTGTTTGCAGATGATGTGGTCCTGTTAGCCTCCTCGGATCGTGACCTCCAGCATTCACTGGGGCGGTTTGCAGCCGAGTGTGAAGCGGCGGGGATGAGAGTTAGCACCTCCAAATCTGAGGCCATGGTGCTCTGCCGGAAACCGGTGGATTGCTCCCTCCAGGTGGGGACGGAGTGCCTACCTCAAGCGAAGGAGTTCAAGTATCTCGGGGTCTTGTTCACGAGTGAGGGTAAGATGGAGCGGGAGATCGACAGACGGATCGGTGCGGCGAAAGGAGTCAGCTGAGGTGGTTCGGGCATCTAATTAGGATGCCTCCTGGACGCCTCCCACAGGAGGTTTTCCAGGCACGTCCAACTGGGAAGAGACCCCGGGGAAGACCCAGAACACGCTGGAGGGATTACATCTCCCAGCTGGCCTGGGAACGCCTCGGGAACCCCCAGAATGAGCTGGAACATGTTGCCGGTGAGAGGGAAGTCTGGGTCAGCCTGCTTGGCCTGTTGCCACCGCGACCCGACCCCGGATAAGCGGAGGGAAATGGATGGATGGATAATGTGTTATAAAGCATGATTAATATAAATGAGTTTATGAAACACAACATAGAAATGATATTTATGTTGCTCTGTGTTTTCTGGATATGTAAATACCCAAATGGCTAACAATTTCACCTAATTAACTGAAAAGGGGATAATTTGCAAGTGTCGTTGCCTCCAAGTGGCCAAAAATCAGTGAATGCTGCTTTGAAGAATCCAACTTGGAACCGCATCCTAAATGTAATTGACGTAATTCAACTGTGAATTTGAGATTAAAAGTGTAATAAAAAGCATGTGCAGCCACACAGATGTGGTCCCAGAGCTGCTGACATTTATCACCCACCATACTCAGCGCCAAGTGTAAAAAATCCTTTGGACTAACAAGGGCTCATTACCGGGGTCACTACTGTATTCAGCTGGACATGCTTGGGTCTAATGATGAAACCATACCGTTTTTACTGCAGGGACAGCGATTCAATATCCATTTGAATAAAAAAACTGATCGTTAACTATCCTTATAATGACACCCGATGGGAGTTTCTCTTTAAAAGTTCAACTATTTTCCATATTCGGCAAGACTTCAGAATAAGTCCCTTCCAAGATTAGATGACTAATCTCTGTCAAAGTGTTTCTCTGTCACCTATTAAGAGATTCACGTGAGACGTCCACAGCAGAGCAGAAGTCAGAGGTTGTGTGTCTCTGTCTTTGCACAGATGGTGGCGAGCGTGGCGTGAAGGTTGAGGAGGAGGAGGTGCGGGACTACCGGGTGAAGTGTTTGAACAACCTGGCCACCGCTCATCTCAAACTGGAGCAGTACAGCGAGGCGCTGCACACCAGCCGGGACGTGCTGACCCTCGAGCCAAACAATGTCAAGTCCCTTTTCAGGGTGGGAAAGGTGAGGGCCCATGCTGTCGTGTTATTACTGAGAGACAACATCACTGCATCTCATTTGATCTTTATCAAGGCATAAATGGCAGGGAGAGTTCCTTGAAGAAAGAGGAATTTGTTTATGGGATTAGATTTAATTATTTTTTTAATATAGCTGCTGTATTATTGCTATCTGTTCCCCGCCTGTTTTGATTTATGGGTCCACCAGCTCTGCTCCCACTGTACAGTTTTCTATTGTCTTCCAGCTCCAGTCAGATATGGGGGAATACAAAGAGGCGATGGAGGTGCTAAAAAGGGCCTTGAAACTGGAGCCGACCACCAAGGTGAGATTATGTGGGTGCGCTCGTCACTCCCCCTCGTCACCTTTCTTCCAACTCTGCCTGTGAATCCCGTCCATCCCTAACAGAGGAAAGGTCACTCAAAAAACAGGCTGCCAAGATTTGTAATTTCAATGCTAAAGAATCACCGTCAAGCCTGGAGTTATATTTTGAACTAATATATATAAAAATTAAAGTTACCGCCTCATTGAGTTCACAATATTTCACAAAAGTTCTCAGAATTTAAAAAGACAGTTATTTACAGGTTAACTGGTTTGTCTAATTTGCCAAATCCGCCACAGAGGATCTGGCAGTATACAGATGTGACCACACTGCTCAGAGTCATCCAAAAAAGTTGATTAAAAAGCACAAGCTAAATATTGTCATTCCAAAGCCCTGCGCTCCAAAAGTAGTAAATCAAAGTTAAAAACGAGCCAGAGTCCCGCTTGCAGCTACAACATAGACTCCACACTTTACTTTAAAAAACACTTTAAAAATAACAGAAATGAACATTATTTTGATTCCCAATGCATGTATTGCTTCTTTCACTTTAATAACTTTTATGACAGTTTTCCTCTAATTAAGAATTAAATTAAAGTATTAACAAAATACTTGAATTAAGAAACAGTTTAAAGTGCATTTTAAAAGCAAAACTGAAAATGATTTGGAGGTCTTCTCTGGAAGGCGTTGTGTTTCAGACCTCTGCTCTCACCTGGTGGACATTTTCAAAACTGCAACTTTACCTTTTGCTCAAGATAAAATGGTTAATTTTACTTTAACTTTACACGATCTACAGAAAGCAGCTTTTTCACAGCTTGTTAATGTGTTTTTTTTTTTTGTTTTAGGCGATCCACGCCGAGTTATCTAAACTCGTCAGAAGGCAATCAGGAGGCAAAGATACTCAGGAATGGAAAGTGAAGCCAGCGGAGATGCTTGGAGAGAATATCGCACCTTTTCTGATTCCTTCAAAGAAGAAATTGTCTGTAAGAACAGAAATATCTCCGATGTTTTATTCTGAGAGCCAACAGACTGGATTTTGACTGACCGTTTTCTTGTGTTTTAGGGAATTTCCTGGAAGTTTATACTCGGAGCTCTGGTTGTGGCCTTGATCAGCTTAGTGATGTCAATGATCCTGACTGCAAGAAACTGAAGTCCTCTGCGGGAAGCACTTTGAAAAATCCTCCTCCTCCTGATCAACATCATGTGCAGAGTTTGATCTCAAGTCCTCTTTAATTCATTTGTGAAGAGTTTTTCTACTTTGCAGACTTGAGAAGGTTTGCAAAGCAGCCTGAAGTTGTATTTATGGTAGAAAAGAAAAAAGTTTCACTGAAAAGTGTAGAGTATTTATGAAAATGTAGATCGTACAGCATCAAGTAAATACCTGCAGAGATCTCATCTTTTCAGTTATGAGTTTTATTTGAAAAAGGAATTTAAAAAAAAAAAAAAAAAAGCTGGAACTTTTGTAAAGAATGTAACCAAACTGCAAAGAGTAATTTTCGTAAACAAATAACACTTTCTACATCACAATTATTAGAAATAGTTGATCAGTCCTCCAATAATTGAAGGCGTTGAAACTACGATGTAATATTGATCACGCTGATGCTGAATAAAAATGTACTTTTTCTTTCTCCTTTTGATTTCTTAAGAACCAAGTTTGGTCTCAAAGGGGAAAAAGGTACATTCATTTAAAAATATAGTTTTCCAGCGGACAAAATCAAAAACTATGTAACTTCAATTGAAACATCCTTTATTTAATTCATAAAATCACTACCAAATATATACATAATCTAAGAAAAGTAAGCATGATTACATTACGTACATTTATATTTGTGAATGTGCAGTTTTCCAACAGTAGAAATCTTCATTTTGATCAGAGAATTAACATGAAAATATATTAAAGGCTTGATAGTTAACTATTCCAAAGATTAAAACATACAAGACAATAGAAGTCATTTGGTGTCCTTCATTGCTCCATCGGATCGACCGTCATCAACCATCTACAGCCCACAGCAGGCGTTGAGCGTCTTCTTTGGGTTGGATTGACTCAGTCTGACCTGAGAATCAGACTGCCGCCTCAGTGTGACGTTTTTCTTTACTTCTCTGCGGGAATGGAAAACAAGTCTAAGTGTTGCCTGAAGAATAACTCAAACTCTCTCTCTCTCTCTCTCTGGCCTCCTACCTCGCTAGATGAAGCACAGTCTCCACAATGTTGGTTCCCTCCTTGGCACTCGTTTCGCAGAACAAGGCGCCGTATGCCTGCAAGCAAAGCGTCGACATACCTGACTGGAGTGAGTTTATTTAGACACCCGGGAGGCCGGGCGTCTGTATAAACACTTTTCTATCGGATGGAATGAAAGGTTACACACCTTGGCCAACTTCTCTCCGTGCAAACTGCTCACGCAGCTCCCTTCTGGAAGCTGCTCTCGCAGGTCCACCTTGTTTCCAATAACACACATGGGGATTTTCTCGTCTGTTGAATCCTGTATAAAAACAAAAAGGACATTGTAAAGTATATTACCGCTTTTAGGTGCCGTATTTATTCGTCAATCAGCATTTCCACAGTTACCTGAATCTGGTCCACCCATGCTCTGACGTTAAGGAAGCTGCTTTCTGAAGTGACATCATAGAGGAGCAGGACTCCGTGAGCTTTACGGAAGTAAGACCTGGCGATACTACGAAACCTACAGTCCAAAGAAACACAGATTTTTTCCATTCTCCAGTCATTATCAAAATAACATGTCGCGAGTTTTAATTGATAACACCATGTTTTTCATGTTGCTACTTCCTTGATAAACACTATGCGAGCCGGTGCAATACCTCTCCTGCCCAGCTGTATCCCATATCTGCAGGCTCGTCTTCTCTCCATCCACAAGCATCCTCTTTATTTGGAAATCCACTCCTGAGAACCAAAAAAAAGCTGATTTAAATGTCTGAACTCAAGACTGTGTCAGTGTTTGATGAAATGCGATGCGTTTTCTGTGGCACTTACCCAGTGTTGTCTGAATGTCTCCCTTGAACTCATTGAGCGTCAGTCTCAGCAGGAAGCTGGACTTTCCAGCTCCCGCATCTCCGGCTAAAACCAGACGGTACATTGGAGCAGGTTCCTCAGGTTCTTCTATGTTGGCTTCTAAAGGCTTCGGAAATGCCACAAAAGATAACAAGCTTACTACATTTTTTGTTGAAAATCTTTCAGTCTGTAGTGTTCTTCATAAAGAAAACAGTGAGCATTCATTTAGTTGACAGTGAATGATTACTCTTAAACTAAGTCGTTTGCCTAAACTCATAGGTCCAGGTTCTTGTTCTACCGGAGCTTTCCATCACATCCGTCTTTGCCATTATACGGCCATCACAAGATCTGGGTTCCATACTTCACTTCATGACAACTGAACAAACTATCTGCTGATGAAAACTGTGAGATGTGCTGGAAACCTCCAGAAAAACCTCGTAAGTGGACCTTGAGTTGAGTTGTTTTTTTTAAATGATTTGAGTTACCTGCATGTCAATAGACTATTAAAATAGAAAAAATCTGATTGAAAATAATGCGTTATGTTGTATATACTTCTTTGTACAGCATTTCAATAAAATCACAAATCTGCCTCAGAGGGCTTTACAATCTGTACAATCTGTACATCGGAACAGGAAAAACTTCCACATGTAGTTTAAATGCACACTGGAATATAGTAATTTAAATGGCAGTTCAAACAACAGTTATATGTAGCATGCCAACATGCTCACATTGACAAGTTAAATGTTTACCGTGTTGACCGTCCTAGTTTAGCATGTCAGCACTAAACACAAAGGGCAGATGGACAAATGAAAAACATTAAACTGATGATGCTGCTACATCAGTGGTTCCCAACTTGCAGAAAAAACATATTTTTTATAAAAAAAAAAAACAATAAAAAAAACATCTCTGCTACACAAACTTTCCGCTTATCTGTTTATTTTTTTTTTAAACTGCCAAATGTTTACTTCTTTGGGGCTACAAATCACTAAGCATGAAACAGCTATTGTACCTTTGTGGAAAATGCAGACAAACGGCGTCGTAGAGATGATGCAATAGAGCTCGCCTTGCTAGGAGCCATCGACACTGCGGCTTCAGATTTCATTTCTGACATCTGTAACAGACAGAGTAAATACTCATTGAAAGTTGTCACAGCATATTGGCATTACATAGCCCAGTATTTAGACCCGATGGGTGTTCTGACCTCCACATCAGACGGGACATATGAGTAACTGTGGTGCACCGTTTCTACTGAGCCCCTGCTGTCGTCACTGTCGTAATCACTGCCTGAGCTCTGGGCTGTGTCCATCGGCAGCGAGACTCCACTGTCCAGGTACTTATCAGCCCAGCTGGCCACATGAGAGAAGGCTGTTTTGCTGGGATCCTGCTCCGGGCTGCAAGCACCGACACACTTGCTTTAGCTGTGACAATTTAACTCACAGAGAGATCAATCCGCAGAGTCACAGAAGTGTGTTAAAAACTGTATATACCTGCCATGGTTGAGTGTGCTCTGTCGGAGGGGCTTCATCCTTCGGGCTGGGATTTCATTTCGGGCAGGCAGCTGTTGAGCAGATTAGGAAAGTCAGGGAGGAAACGTTTTTCACACTTTTTTCACAACTAGTGAAAGCAATTCACTATAAGTTTCTATTTGATGTCGAGCCAGTAGGTATGAGGAAATATGTCATCAGCAAACAAAGGACTCACCCTCCTTTTAGCTGCAACCGCTTCACTGGCCAACGCAGAGCGGAGCCCGTCGTTACTGTCATACAGCTTTTTGTTTGTTTCCCTAATGACGTGTTGAAGGAAATACAAGACTGAGTCGCATGCATGTGCAAACATTTACTTCTTTACAAATGTCTGGTAAACATGTTGTAAAGACAATGCGGGGAGTGTAGTTTGTATGTCGTTTAACTTAACCTGGATGGTATTTTACAGACTGGACAACGCAGAGTAAGAAAACATTTAAACCAAAAAAAAAAAAAAAAAAAAAAAGACCACAAAAGTATTCACAAGACAAACTATTACACCTTCCTTGTGTTACTATGCACCCCATGCACTCTGCATTGTCCAGTAAACACACTGAACCCTGTTCTTCTGGTAATCCAAGTATGTTAACGGTGTGGTTCACACATTACGCCATTTAACTTTAGGAAGCATATTATTTAAACATAACAGGTTTACAACACACACATATAATGTAGCTGTATAGAGAAGAGAACATTTTTAAATGTACAGTTTTTATTAATAATTATAATTTCTCCAATGAAGACACATTTGATATTACTAAATTGTATTTAGTATTATTATTAATTGTCATTCATATTTGTTTATACAAAAGCATCCGTACATGGGTGCCCACAAGAGTTATATCCTTATATACATTATATCGGTTTACAACTCCATATAGTGTTATAAACCATTTATTCTGCGTTTATCCCGCTTTTATTCCGCTCATAAATGCTTAATAAGGGGCAGTTAAAGAATTGTTGCAGATGTATCTTTTTAAGAATATTTTTAGTGTCTATTTTTATCTTTTAATGAGCTCCACAAAAAACTATTTTGGTGTCAACAGAAATCTCAGAGGCCATTATTTCAAAGCCTGAGCAATTAAAATCAAAACTATCCTTCTTGGCTAGATACCGTCAGAGGTATATGGGATGAGGATGTTTTTAATTTTGGTGAACCAAACCTTTAAATCAAAGGATGGTAATTATTAACATTTTATGGTAACACAGAAACAATTGACACTAAAATGACCAAATCTCCACATTCTTGATTTATACACCAAAAAAAGAAATCACTTACTAAATGCCCACATTAGACCGCTTTATCAAGTGAAAGACTTACTGAAGAATCTGAATCTGATTGGAATATGACTGGTATTCCATAACCATGCTCTTCAATTCATCCGTTTCTCTGTCAAGAAATACAAGCCACACGTACTGTTGATGTTGTACTGGAAGCTGGATTAGATTTTGTGTCAACAGACATGAGCAGAGCTTAAATACACTGCCTCACCTTTTATGTTGAGCTTTCTGGTCTGCGTACATGTTCTTCAGCTTGTCCAGCTCCGAGAGCAGCACGGCGATGTCCGTCTGGGCTTGTAGCAGAGAAGTTCGCAGGTCCTCATTTTCCTGTGAGGAGATTAAGTCAATAACTGGAACAACTCCATACGTGTGACTTGGTGTGAGAACTAATGCATGAAGTACCTGTGAGAGATTACTGATCCGTATGTTCAGTCCGTCCAACTCCTCCTTTGAATGGTTGAAGTCCTTTTGGCTCTTGAGAAAAGACATTTACACAAGCATTTTGTTGTGTTGATAATGTAGAGACAATGGGAAGGTTTGCTTCATCTCAGTGATGAATAGAAGACTACTGCCATGCAATCAATAGCTTAAGTAATTGTGTTTACACTCTCCGTGGAAACAGCTTTCCAAGATGTGTGTGAAAAGGAGAAGACTGCTGAGCATTTCTTTAAACTGCTCGATATTTGTCTTCGCAATCTGCAACTATGAGACAATGGTGTTCCATTTTTACCAATTGTATCATTCCTCTAGCACTTGGTTCAAGAGTTGAACCTGAAACCTCAAACACACGCCCCCCTCCCCCCTCAGATTTTGCTTAGTGACGCGTGTGCTGTGGCGGAAAAGCAGGCATGACAAGAAATTACATGTAGCTGGATTGTAAGCATAAACTATAGGTGCTAGCATGGCTAGCAAGCCAACAACAGCATTCCACAAGTTGTTTACATACAGCATCTAATCAAACATGACCCTCTATGCTTGTCCATGCATTGATTGCATCCAAGCAGCATCCCTAATTCCTCAATCTGACTCCCGCTCTCATAATGGCTGGACATAACATACCAAGTATTTATAGGTCTTTTAAGGCTCTCTTTAAAAGGTCACCTTTTCCAAATGAGTCATGTTTTTAACCACTTTCTCTGTCTTTCAGGTGCAGCAGAAATTGGGCCACAGCTGCATATCCTCGAGCTTTTGTGTTGCCTTTCAGTTACAGTGGCTTTCCTCTCTCTTTTTCATGATGTAAGAAAACATAATCATCCTTATACAATCAGTTTACTGTGCATAAACAAAGTAAATGCATGCTGTGTGGAAAAACCTACCTTTAACAGTCTGTCCACAGTCGCATGCAGATCTGTGACCTCGTTCTTGTGCTTCCTCTGCATGGCCGCCATAACTCCTTCCACTTTTTTACGCTCCTACAAACATGAAACCAAAGTAGTTAGACGTGCAGACCGGCTCAGGCCTTGAAGAGGGGCTTTCATCTGCCTATACAGAGGCTCTTTGTGAGGAGACGTGTAACCTGCTGCTATTTGCTGCACCACAAATATGCAAATATGCAAGAACCAGTGAAGTGAAAGTTTCACTTTGAACAATTTTTTGTCCATTTCTCAGTGTACTGTTGAATAAATGCAGCTGTTTTTACAACAGCCACTTCATTTGGTTGGATACGTTTCACTTTCTATAAATAGAGTAAAGCATAGGAGCAATCATCCACTACAATGTAGGCGTCAGACTTACCTCGTCCCTCACCCTCTTCTCGCTTTTGACAAGCTGCTTCTGTATATCGTCCTCCAGTTCTGACAGCTGACTGTTGTTCATCTCCTCGGTTCTGTTTGAACAGAAAAGAATGTTAAAGTTTGTGCCGACAGTCTCACTGCTGCTGAAGCAAAGCCGATTCTCCAACAGCAGTACCAGAGATTAATACGGCAGGAATAAGAAGAGGAGTCGATTCACCTACTATCCATTTGTCAATTCTACCTGACTAATTGGACTTCAAACGTGCTGCAGTTGCCACTGCTCTGCTCTCGTCAGACAACGCACGACCCAACCAGAGCCGAGGGAGGTGACAGGCTCCACAGGTGTGCTAAATGCTAAATGTCTGTCAGATTTCTCAGTAAGACCTCATATATGATTAATTTAGTTTGGTGTAAGTTTTATGCCAACATTTCAAAGGTCTGTTAATTTCAACATAGTGGAAATATAGGTACAATAGCTGGCTATATATCCAGTTTTAAAGGACAAAGCAGAGCAGCACATTATTGTCTTCCTACTTCCTTGAATAAGGAATGTCACCTTTCTCATGCCGTGTAGTTACTGAACCGCAGAAAGCTTAACAAAAACAGCTTAGACAGGGTTTATTCCTGTGTAGGAGTGAAATTCAAGAGGCGGTTAAAGGTTGTGTGTGAGGGGTCACTTCACAGTTTTACTGTAAAGGAAATTATTAAAAGACTTAACTCACATATTATATAACCTTTAATATATACAATCACTGTTCAGCTTGAATATCATTAAGTACTGTGATTACAGTCATTAGAGTAATCTTTTCTCTGCTGCCAACTACAACTACTACTATTACTAGGCATGACATCAGGACAATTTTCTTGAATGCTGTTCATACATTATTGTGTTCATACAATTTACCAGCTGACAGGTGGCACACTAATTTACAGCAACAGCAGAAGGGCCCAACAACAGACTTGAACTGATATTTACATTGACTCAAATAACTCATAGGATTGCTTATAGTGCTAAATCAGTTTTAATTTTGAGCTTATCTCCATAACAAAAAAACAACAACTGATAAACCCACTCGTTGCTTTTTATCCAGCACCAAATGACAGACAGGCAAAGTCAACGATTAGCTGGTAAAAAGGTTGACGCTCTTGTAGCTGAAGACACATTGTTGTTGTTTCAGACCAAAACGGAGATAAAAAGAGAGTGAACATTGGATTTACATTTGTCTGGTGGCCCGAAACATGTCGTGAAAATTGCTAACACGTCAACTATAAAGGCAATACTGTCAGTTGTTTACCAGTCTGCTTGTTTTGATGTTTTTCTGTCCTCTAGTCTAATGGGCTGAAATCAAATAAAGCAGCTTTAAATCAAACAGTTAATCCCGGTAGATGCAGTGGACTCCAGGGAATCGATTTACAGGGTTTGTCCACAGTTTCTATGGTTTACAGCCAGTAGAGGGCAGCAGATCACCACTGCTCTGGAGTCAAAAGAAATCTACAAGCAGTTAGGTTGCAGTAAGGACAGTTATGTTTATTTAATAAATTCAACAAAACTAAACACCCTGACCAACAAGTTTAATTTTAAACATTCACTTTCAAATGATAATACTGAATGTCACTGCTCACAATATAGCCACATGAGCTGAGTGTTTATCATCATTAACAGTTGTGTGATGTGGTTTATTGTTTAAATAATGGGCCTTTATGTCATAATCATGCTGTTTCTTTCTATTTCACAGGTCATATGTTCTGAACTGTACTGACCTCACACAGTCAATAGGCTGAAAGTTACCCTCACCGCTTTATACTGGTCTCCAGCTGTTCACACTCGAGTCTGTTGTCCTGGCTTTGACTGATCAGAGAGTGGATGATGTCCTCATACTGCTGCAGTAGATTTGTGTTTGCAGAAATGTGAATGGCCTGGTATAGACCAGCCAGCTGCTCCCTGAGACTGTGGGAGGAGAACAAATAGTTACTTCCAGCAACAACAGGTAAGAGGCATTTTCTCAGCATCATACCCAAAATCGATCTTTCCAGAATCAAATACTCAACCCCCGTGGGCCTGAAAGGTGGATGTTAAAGGTGTACATTTCATAGTGGGAAAAAATGATCAAACATCAATATAAACTTCTCACACCAACATGATCCACTTTCAATCTTCACTCAACAATAGGGCTTAGGGCACAACACCTCTGTTGACAGTTGGACATGCGAGTGCCGAGATAGATAGATAGATAGATAGATATATATATGGCCTATTTTAGCAAAATGTAGAAGAGAGACATTGTATAAAAATCTCCAAACATACTTAAACAGGAACACCATTTTATAAAAAACATAAAAGGCAGTGTTTAAATCCCACATAGGATCCTGATTAGCATCACACCATTTGGCTCAGCAACAGCCGAATGCGCATTAAACTCAATCATTTTACACACATAACTATGAAAATATAGTATATGACCTGAACAGCCAGGTAGCAACAAAACAGAAATAATGAGCGAAGTCTGCACTCCTAATGTAGTGAGGTCTGCCAAAACAATTGGAGAAAAACATTTACAAATCCGTCTCTTCCAAATTCTATCATCAGCTACCTTTGATATGAATAAACTTCCATACAAAATGAATACATGTACGTAACATCCATCTGAACTCTGGTTGATGACAGGATGCCTTCATTTTCTAAATCTTAACTGTTTGTCATCAACTGTTAATTATGATGGCATAATAAAGGCAAGTCTTTTTTTCTGTCGTGTTTTCTCCTCTTAGTTGTTTGTCTTGACGACAGCACATAACTCGACCACCTGTTAATTGGGACACATGATGACAACTGGAGCTCAGTAACAGGCTCGTCAGTAGACCTGGAGTTTGTCACTGCAATCCATTTTGTTTCTCATATTTGAACTTGTAGGAAATAGTTAATGATCATAATAGACTGTTCATTTACTAACAAAAGGTAGCTTTAGTGTTAAACCAGCGTTGGCTACTGTTTCCATTACCGATAGGTCTTCATTTAAAGTCACACAACATCATGACTAACGTTATGTGCGCTGCTGCAGGGCAGAGCCCTTATATCCATATTAGATTAAACATTGACGTGTATTGTGTGTGTGGGTTTATGAGTCACCACAAACGGACAATCCGACACGCTTGAAACCTAATGAAACAAATCCGTGTTTTAGCTGCTAAATAAAATAAGGAAATAGGACCAGGAACAGGTGTTTACGCAGCAGCCGACGTCTTAACTGACAGTAAAGGTCCCAGAAGCAGCAATAGCCGCTGGCTCACTTTTCTGGTTAATTACGCTTCAGCCGGATGCGCGTTTACCTTTCAGAGAGGACAGACTCAGCATCTATCCGGCCTTCAAACTCTTCCCACGGGCAGCCTCGGTTCCGGGACGACCCGGCACCGAAAGACGCAAAATCCAGAGTCTCCGAAACCTCTTGAAACCTGGACGAGAACATGCTGTAGTCGATGCATCCGTCCTCGTCTGCGTCGAACTTGTTGAACAGAGTTTTGATCTCAGTTTCGGACACGTTGAGCTCCCGACAGACCACCGTGAAGTCTTCGTACTCTATTTTACCGGACTTGTTCACATCACAAGCAGAAAACAATCTCCGAAGGCTGGGTCGCTCCATGTTAGAATGAATAAAAACACATACAACGCGTCAAAATGTCAAAGTTAAAATTCAGCCACGGCTTCCCTCACGAGCTGACTTCGGCTGCGTGCCAACCCAAAATAAAAGCCTCTGTTAAAGTCTCACAGCCACTCATTGGTCCAAATCTCCGTGGAGGCGGGTATCATCCGAATCAATGGACCCAATGTGCCACTTCCTACCTGGATTCTATCAAGTTACTGCAGCAGCAACCTACGTTGTAATTATTTGGCGTCATCAAGAGTTAAGATGTCATCCTTGTGTGCAGCTGTAACACAATATACACACAGAACAGATACGCAAGTGCGAGCCTCTATTTACCTTTAAGGTGTGTGGTGCATGAGAGTTTTATCAGAGACACTCCTCTTTGTTCCCCTGGGTTTGCAGTGTTTCTGACGCCACCCTAACTGATTAAATCAGCAAGATCATAACCTTCAAAATCGTAATATTGTAGCCATTTATGCAGATGAATGTAAATGAGTCATCTGTATAAATAATAGGTAAATATGTTTTACTTAATGTAATAATTCAAAAAAAAAAAAGATCCATTAGATCTTTATTTGAAAAATTAAAATAAAGTGCTTTTTATATACAATACAAAAAAGAAAAAACAAACAGTAGTGATGTATGATACAAAAAAATACAATTCACGATATTTTTACATTGGCAGCTGAATTTACAAAACAATTTTACATAAAAAAACGTTTTTTACTTACATGTTGACAAGAGTCTGAGCAACTTGTACTGTCACAAATAAAAGGCCAGACTACAGTGGTTCATTAAGAGATAGCAGACGACGATACTTTCACTGTGGCATTAATAGTTTAGGCTTGTATTCAATGAAAGCATGTTCAGTACCTGCACATATTTCACTAAGTCACTGCCACTTTGTATTTGTTCTGCAATTGTATATTGTTCTGACGGCAGCCACTTCACCAAAAGCGGCCAATTGTTTGTTTTTATTAACAGTCTAAGCATGAATCTTTAGAGTTGACCAGCCTTTGAGTCATTTTTTTCAGTGCCATTTACAGGAAATGTAACATAATACTTGTCAATAATTCAGTCTTTTAAAATCAGCCAGTGGTAATTCATGTGCTACAGTTTTAGAATAAAATTGAGTCCCTGACTAAAGTTGAAGCCACTGTGATGAAAATTAAATAAAAAAACAACACCTCATGAGCACGTACTGTACAAACTTGACAATATTAAATCACACGTATTCAATGTTTTCACTCTTGTGTCTGAGCATGGCCAGTCCTGTCACAGCTACAGTGTAGCATTTGACTCTACAGCACTACTACCTGGTTAGTTTATCTCTCCAAGAGGCACGTCTCTTGATTATTGTTTCAGAAGGCATTATCCGTTTTAGATTTGTTATCAAACCCATAACCTGCATTATACTAAGGCTTTTCAACACCATGTGCAAATCCTATGCATTCTGAGTCAAGCAGAATGCCTTCCTGCATTTTTGTGAAATTGTAATTTTGCTGGCCACATTGAAATACTAGAGCTCAACTCAAGTAAGACTTCAATTATATTGTATAAAAATGCTTTCAAGTTACTCCAACCTCTGACCCACAAATTTGTTGGATCATATGGTTTATAATTCATTATTTCTGAATAAGGTAAATGACTAATCAAGATCATTAAAATCCACAATTATAACTATATTACTGGATGAGAATAACAATTATTGCTTTTATGGTTGCCTTTCAAACCATTTAAGCAAGCAGAGGCCATTTTCTTCCACTCATTAACACTCAATTAATATGTATATCAAAGTTGAGGCTACACGGATGTGTTATTTAAATCAGATTATGAATAGGTGTATTATTTAAATATGTATTATTATTTCCCTTTGAGAATAGTGATAGTTATTTGTAAAATTAAAGAATATGAAAAATGCCTCTCTGTAAGAGAAATATTTCGGCAATATTCTGCACTAAAATACACCAAAATAGCTAAAATCTCTTGCATACCTACAGTTAGTGTAATGAGAGCTTGTGTGTGTGTGTGTGTGTGTGTGTGTGTGTGTGTTTGCAGTGCTGCTGATCCTAAAGTAATTACTAGCGCCAACACCTTTGTGCTAACTCAGTCTCGAGGTGAGGTTGTCTTGGTATTTACCCCACTTCACATTATTTGCTTTGCATAGACTGTCTATCTCATGAAGAACAGCATGATAATACCTGGAATGACATTTTTCCCTTTATCACATTTGGTGAAAGAAAACCCTGTTGAAAGTCAGGCTTCCACGGAGGAATATTTGTATCCACTAATAATACCAATACTTAAAAACATAGCATGTCATCATTTATGACTATATAATATTCATGTTTTTGGTGTGCGGTGATTGAGGTGGGTAGAGTTTCCACTGAGGTGAATCCTTGTTTGTGTTCTCTTTATAAATATCTGTGTTTTTTTAATCAACCTTTTCAGTCTGTTAGCACAACTCTTCTACTCTTAATTCTTTCTCTGTTGCTGTGTTGTATTCAAGCCTAAACAATGAGTATACTTGTGTAAATGCATACTGGCTATCTAAAAAAATCTATGACAGGACTTTTTTTTTTTTCTTTCTCGCCTGCCGGCTGCTGTTCGTGTATATTCTGGTGTGAGTGTTTACCTTGCTACAGACCAGTACATAGTGCATAGCCTCAGGGAAAGGTTAGGCTCTTAACAGATGACAGAATGCAATTAAAACAGTAAACACTATAAGTCGTTAGTGGGAACATGTTTGAATATTACTCTGCCTTTCAAAGCATTGCCAGTAGATTATATAGACGGACTGAGCGGCAATGCTATGAAACTAAATCAGTGAATCTTAGTCGTGACATCGCCTCTTCGCTTGTTACATTCCTGTGAGCCGTAGTGAAAGCATCAAAAGTCTGAAGGCAAACTGGAACTTCTTCAGTGTGCTTCAAATGCACTTGAATACGAGGGAGTGAGAGGAAAACAAAATGAAATAAACATGGACCACAGGGACAGAACAAAAAGTGCAAAATCTGTGAAATGAAATGTCTCTCCATGAAGAGTCGAATGATCCTCAGTCTTCCCTCTTATAGGGCTTTGTCTCTCTCAGCAAGTGCACTCTTTTCTTTCAGTTTAAAATGAGTCCCTCCACACAACATAAAGCCAGCCTCACACTATAGAGTCTTTAATCTCGGAGCCCAGTCTGACTCTTGGCCGTGGGCATGTGGGAGAAATCTCTACATGACTCTCTCTCAAGTTCAGAGGCCTCTTCTCCGACTCTAAGAAGCTCCTGCTGTTGTCGGGCGATGAGCACTCGTGCGGGGGAGTGCTGCAGATGTAGTTGTCGTTAAGGGTCTGGTAGCCCTTGTGATCTGACGCCGACGCTGTGACTGTGTTGCCGTTTAGCGGCAAGTTCTCAGCCGGTTTCACCACTATCCTGGGCTTCTTCTGCTGAATGTTGGGGCACTCTCCCTCCTTGAGCATGGACTTCATGTCGTCGCGGTTCCTGTAGACCACAAATAGAGAGAAGACCACCAGGGAAAACGCCAGGAGGGAACACACCACGATCAGCTCGTTCCAGTACGTCTTAGTGTTGATCTGCGGTGAGCGGGCCTCTCCTGGCAGGATGATGAACTCCTCCTGGGAGACCTGTGGCGTACGTGAGCGGCCTCTCAGGGTGGTGCTCTCGTGCTTGGCCTCGCCCCTCACACAGTAGTTTGCCAGCAGCTGTCTGAAGCCTTCCTCCACTGACCAGCACTCATAGGTTTCCTGCCTGTCAGCTTGAGCTACCACTACCAATCCCCCCTCTGGGCTGGGGTAATGGAAGTGACCTGCACTCTCACTGAACTCCCACCTCCTCTCTGCCAAATTAGAGCGCAGCTTGCAAGGGAGTACTTTGAACGTGTTGGCTGGGATAATGATCACCTGGCATGAAGACATTCCTGTGGAAAGGCAAAGCAGAGACGTAGCTCGAGTCAGATACGGCACGAAATAAGCTCTACACTTTATCTCGTGTAGAATTCAAAATACCAAATGAACACATTTGTAATCAAGACTCAAAGTGAAAGGCAAAGAGTGGAAAAAAACAGAGTGCTGCTCTGTAAATCTGACTATAAGAGGAGTTCACTTACGTGTAGGTGGAGGTTTAGCAAACCGTGGGCTTGGCACTGTCTTGTTGCAAATAGCTGATGTGTCAGCTTCATCTACATCCTGCTGCAAGGCACTGAAAGACATTATATTTAATCAGAAACCATCTTATATTTACATTTCGATAGACATGTTTGTCTCAAAAGCTGTAGCTGTAAAAATCTGTTTGCAGATTATTGTGCAGAGGGATGCATACCTGCTTGGTGGAGCCAGTCTGACATCCACACACTGCCTACCATTCCAAGCACAGTAAGGATCCCTGGAGAGGATGCACTCCCCGCAACTCTGATAATTAGTGCAGTTAGCTACTGGGACCTCCGCCAGTTCAGAGAAAGAGGAAACATAAAGCTGACCCTGTGGACGAGAGATGACAAAGCAGGGGACCGGAAAGAAGTGCCCCAAATAATAGGTTACTTATTTCATCCATAATCTTCTCCTGATCTAAATACAGCACATTTAGCTTTTCTTAATACCGGCTTAATAGGAATTTCTTTGCCCAAATTTACAAATCTGAGTGTCAAAGACAAGCCAGGATTCAAGAAGTGTCACTATTCCAGCTGTTAAAACACCAGCTGTCTGCAGATCCCCTGAGAGACAGTTGCATGTAATTAGCTCATTGAACACGAGGTCTGCTTTAGGCTGCCGCTCTTCATGGTTCATGGAATTTGCAAACTGCCAATAAATGCATTTACTGAGCATGCTATTAGTTCACACCATGAGAAAGCTCTGCAAAACAAGCCGGGGTTGTTTTCTCTCTCGGCACTCCACTATACCTTTTCAGTGTCCAGCTCAATGTGTTGCACTGGTTTGGAATCACGAAAGAGCACCATCTCCTCAATGATGTGCATCTTGTTATTGACATTAATGGCTTTATGAAGTCTCCCATCATCTAGAAGACAAAGTACAACTTGAGATTAGATTAAACTCTTTGTGAATATTGAGAAATGACAGTGATCAATAACATAGTGTATGTGTGATTGTGGGTGAGGAGTCTTTTACCTGTGCCAATGAAGATGACATTATACGCTTTTTTTGCCGCCTGGACGCGATGGACAGCGATCTGCGTGTAGCGAACATTACGTTTTAGCAGGAGAGGCTGGCTGCGGATCACGCTGTCCATCAGGAAGTGGTCTTTGACAAAATTCAGCACCTTGTCTGGCATGTGCAGCGAGGAGGAGATGTCCTGTTCCCTGGCAGCATTTGTGATACACTGTGAAGACAAAAATATTGAGTAATTTACAAACATTCAATCACGTATAACGACACATACTGCAGCCGTACAGCACCTCAATGTTTCTTTTGCTTAGATTTTTCAACTGTGATAAGCCTGCCAGGAAATTAAAACGACAGTGATTTGATGTTTAGGAAGAAAGGTGGGGCATTAGGAAAGCTCAACAGATATCGCTTTGAGCCTTGAGGATGTGACCGGTGAGCAGACAGGAACGTGTGAAACTCGTTAAGATGACATGAAATACTGCCGAGTACTGACATGTATTTATCTACAGGTTCTCCAGTAGAGGGCAGCAGGTATTTACTCACCACACCAGGCCGAGGCTCTGGGACCGGATGATTGTATGTGTACCACTGTTGAGTCTCTCTGTTGACCTCACGGTATCGCCCATTGAACGCCTTTTCCACCTGGTCCATAGTGAAGGAGCACACTGCAGAGCTTCCTGAAGCACCATTATACCTTCAACGACATAAACAATACGGATTGATCATTTAATACATTCTGATCTCGTTTAATCTTTCAGACATTATAGAGGAGATGTTTTACACTGAAAACCTAAACAACTCTATAGAGACTAACTGATTTTAGAAACACTGCGGCCATGTTTAACTGCCCAGGGAGTGAAGATGGACAGTATAGCAGCTGAATCGGACACAAAGCATCTCCTCTCTTCTCCTGCATTTGCACTTTGGTTTCGATCAGAACGTTTTTAAAGCATACCTCAGACAAAGAGACACTACATTAGTTTGGTGATGTATTAATCTAAGTAGCGAAAGTCGGTCCTCACCACTGAGACGTGAATACTCCATAAAACACAGTGTTCTTCCAGTCCTCGGGGCTGGGTGTCAGCACAAACATGTCTTGGATTATGTTGAAGGGGAAGCCATCATCAGGCAGAGAGCACAAGAGTTGAGCCTTCAGGAAGGTCGTCCATTTCTTCTGCAGAACCCTCTCACCTCCCATGTCACCCTGCAACAGAGATATTGACGGTTTGGAGCTGTTTAACATGTGGCCAGTAGAGGGTGCAAGTATATAAGATTGACACCTGTCTGAGATGGACAATGCCTCTGAAAAAAAACAAAAACATGGTTTGATACTCAAGTGGGATATGATGGGATGTGACAGGCTTGTAAAAGGCATGAAATAATAATGTGCACCATATGGTATGTGGCATAACTCACATAATATAAGATGCAAATGTCCAAATGTGGACAAAAGTGAAGCTATTTGAATTGACGTAATTGAAAAACATTAACCTCGTATTGTAAAATCCTAATGAGCTTATGCAATTGTGCCTGTAACACAGATATACCCAGAGGCAACAGATTTGTAGGTCACGAAAACAATATACATCATCACAACTGGCTTGGATAAAAAAGAAAAAGATCACTCAGGGCTTTGAGGGGGGCAAATGCCTTTAAATGAAAAAGAAAAAGAGGCTTTGCTCCCGAGCAATCCTTCTTCACTGACACTACCGCTGTGATTCAGCGCCTTTGGCACTAGCCTTCACAGTGATGTGTGGCACGGGACCTCCTTAACATGCTGTTTGACTACACAGAGTGTACAACAGGATATCTGCGCAAATTGGAGAGCAACTACATCTTTGAACTTCAATGTGAAAATGTTTTACAGTATGTGATGTATGACTGTAAAACAGAATGTAATCCACAGAGAGTTGCGGGCCTCACAAAGATGGCTGCTGATGCTTCACCTAAGGAGACCAAGAGCCTATACTTCTACTACAAGACCTGGCATTTAAAGGGAGGGTGATGTCCTGCACCAACCATACTGTCTGCAGTTCATGGCAACAATTATTCCAGTTTTCTCGCAGTCTTAGATCTTACAAGATGAAAGTTGGCTGCTGGAAGAAATAAGTAGTATTACAAATGTGCAGAGGACCAAAGAGAAATACTAAATGATCTAAACTACCTAAAACCCTTTAAACATGAAACTTCAATCATGTCCACTTTAGTATTACATTAATCAGAGGAAATGGCAGCGCTGGATCGGAGAGGAAATGACACATGACCAATACTGAGCTTCTGAAGCAATTACTTATTGCAGTAACCCAGGCAGATAATGAGCAACATACAGTATATTCTCTAGTCCTCCTGGCTGAACCTAGTTTTATAATTTAATGCCACTCTGTGCTTAAACTGATTGCTGAATAATTGAAGCAAATGCATCCCATTTATTAATCCCTTGTAAAAGCATCCCTTGTTCAAAGGGCCGTTCACAAAGCATGCACATGGCAGGCAGTGATGGCTTCTTTCTGGGAAAACCAGCAGATGACAACATGCTTTACTTTGTTTGTTTCAAGCAAAACACGTTTAATAATTCCATAGTTAGCCTCTATGAAGTGGAACATTTGCACTAAACACCTGAATAAACAACAAAGAGGGGAAGTGCTGCCGACATTATAAGTCAAATAAGGGCCTAGGGAGATAGGGCTCGGATCTAAAGTTACAATTTATTTGAACAGGAATCACTTTATGGTGCTTAAAGGAACAAATGCCAGCCATCTTCAGAGCTTTACCTAATTTTAACGCTTTGTTTTCTACATTTTTTGGGGGAGCACACTCCCAAAAAGTGACACATTATTACTAATTTCCTGTTGGGTAATAACCATATGTGAGAAAATGTATCATCAACATGAACCATGAGTCAATATTTATATAACTCTGTTAACAGTTTTTTTTATTGGATGTATGGAAAAACGATAATTGCAAATATAACCCTGTAGGCAGAGTAACAGCTTTCTATAAAACATTAAGATAAAAAAATCCTCGCTCTCCATGTAAATTTCTAAAGTTGTGTTTAAAAATATTAAAAAAAACACATTAGATAGTGTCACAGGACAAGTTTAAAATAAAAACAAATGTCCTTGTAAGCCAACATTTCTCTGATGTTAACGTAAAACTGTCAGCTACTCTATTTCATTCTCCTTGGACTGTGGTAAACATGATTATTTTCACAGAGACAAGCAGCAGTCTGATCTGGAGAACTGGTTTGTGGTATTAATGATGTTTACAGAACTGAAAAGACCCGAAAAGATATCAAATGCTGTGTGAGGTCTGCATTTTAGTTCAAAAGCCCTGGGTTTAAGTATTTCAGCAGGTGATAATCCAATTCTGCGCATGTATGTGGTGCTACAGTGTGCTACACTTTTACTTACAGACTCCTGTTTGAACAGAAATATTTGGTGAAACACGATAAGAATTGAGGGAGGAGAGCATCTGGAGAAAAATAATCAAAGAGAGGGAAACATGCACGAGGAATGTTTTTCTGTAACAAGAGATCCTGCTCAGAAATACTATAGATCCATCCTATTTAGGCTGTAAGAAGCTTTCAGAAGACTACATATTTGCCTGTGTAGGAACACAAAAACATGAAATACACAAACAAACCCCCTCCCTGGTCTGATAGATCCCTGTAGTGATGTGAGGGGGTGTCAGGATATTTAGCTAAAGGGGAAAAAGACCCGTTTACGTGGACCGTCTGCCTCCAAGCATCACTCACCTTACACACGCGAGCAATGCGTGACACAATGGTGTTGTCAAAGAAATCAAACTCCTTTCCCGCTTCACTGAAGAAGAAGTAAATCTTATCGTCATCGCCCACAAGGTTGCCCTTGGGCAGGCTCTCCTGTATGTAGGCAGAGCCAACAAAGGCTGGGTCTGAAAGAAGGACAACGTGAAAAATGCTTTCAACCTGCAGTATATGAAATTCAGGCATCCAGGGACAGACGTCCCTATTCCCTCTGACATCAACACACTAAATAGAAAATTCAATTGAAACAGGGACTCTTGACAGATTGTCGTTAAATATTTGTTATCTATATAATTTCTAATGGTGTCAAACTCTATTCTCATACAGCATATCTGGCACAAACAGCTATGCTGGTCATATATCTTGTATAATATGAGATATCAAATCATTTTTTAATACATGAAGATTTAATGAAAAGCATTGCATTCCGGCCAAAGCACTGTACCTTGAAGCCAGTTGAGTGAGTTTTCTGTTTTTAGAGCCGTTCCTTGGCTTAGACTCTTGTAAATGATGGGTTCGTTTCCTTGGAAATTACTGACTGTACCGGCATACAGCTCTCCATCTGCAACACAATGAAGAAGACCAGCATAATCACAGTGTTTACCACAGGGGGTATAGGCTTCTGCGTCATACACAGTAATGAAATCCAGAGATTACGCCCCAAGTCGTCTCCATATCAACCACCTGTAACTAATTACATTACAGATTCCAACAGTGGCTTCTTCTTCTAAAGTCAAGATGAAATGAAAAAGTTTCATTTTTAACCCTTTTAGATCACATATATCATATTGTGCACTGACTTAACAACTATTGCAAAAACTATTGACAAAAAATCTATTTCTTCGTATTTTATATCAGAATCCAAATTATTTTCTTCGTCTAAAACAAAAGAGGGAGTGTGCTCACATAAGCTAGTACCGACCAATTTCACCCACAAATATCATGATGTCATCCATCCATCAAACAATCTGCAACTTTTTGCGACAACGGAGGTTTGTGTGGAGCCGACAGTCATCTGTAGCTCCATATCAGGCTCCATTCTAAGCCCGTCCACTTTTAAGCGGTCCAATCAGATGTGAGGGATTTGATTTATATCGCTCTTTTAACTGCACATCACTCAAACGTTTTGTTTCACTGGGGAATACGTCACAGTACGGACACTAAGGACGCTCTGACTTCTGCTTCACTGGGACTTTAAACAAAGCTTGATTTTATCAACAGCCATTCTGGTACCTACCAGCCATGATAGCAGTGGACTTGTATTCAGGGTTAAAGGGGCAGCGGCTTCGTCCATCTTCTGTTACAATCTCACCAGCATCACTCTTGACAAGGGAGAAGTCTGTAGTGTTCTGGAGAGCACAAACACACACATTGCATGTCACACTTAGTTGAAAACGGGAGCTGTAACCTGCTCTGACAGTGACCGCTGTGCGTCTGTCCCACAGTGGAAAGGTGGTCAGTCAGTCTTTGGATAAAGTTGAAGCACAGGTCATCCCTGTATGTTTGTAGATCATTTTAAAAGGCTTCAAAATATTTGTAGAAAAAAAGTTCACAAACTGGGTCGATCCTTATATAATCTGCTTACATGCATTAAATATTTGGATCCGTCGACACAGGAGATAATAAAATAATGTACGTAGAGTATATTGTGTCTAGCTGGGCCTCAGCCAGACTGCTAAGTGAGCTGAGAGGCAGGAAGCAGCATGCACTAGATATTAGATGCTCTTCCTCTAGAATTTAATAAACAAACATCACGTATAAAGTCATGCACCAGGCTAACGTCTTCAAAAAACAAAACAAGGAATGACGCAGGTTTTTAGATCCTCAACACATGCACAGGTTGCACAATGCAGGTCAGTGCAACAGATGTGTCTGGTTCATGTAAACACTTACTATGTAAGCACAGGTGGGGCTGAAGGCGTATGTTCCACACACATACAGATGAGTGCTGTTCAGAGGGAGTAAAATCTTGATGTAGTTGAAGCAATCCGTCTGCATTCGAAACACAGAAAATAATTTAATGAAAATGGCTGAGATGTTCTTTACAGCTGCTAACATACTAGGATATACATAATTAAATATTAAAATCCATTTTCCACTCCGACTTTTGTGCTATTTTTTTCATCTGGCAATTCTTAGATCGTTTTCAATATTAAAAACATTCCTCTTACTAATGTGCTCCCCCCTCACAAATATGTAATCAGACATCCACAAGGTTCTGGGTCTGTATGTTTGCATATGGAAGTCGTAGTGGAGTAAGGTGACAAAATACATTTTGTTTGTTTGAAAGGAAAGGAAAAATCCTTCACTGTAGAATGGAAAGTTACAACTTGACAGGGAATTTCCAGGTTTTTTTACCCTGGGTCTGTCTCCAAAGTGCACTGCAACAATGGCCAACGTGACCAGTGAGGTAAACATGCAGTCATGTAAATACAGTTTGGGTTATTGGAGTTAAGCTAATGGAGCTTTTACATAAACAGTTCACTTGCCTGCAGGTCTTTGCCTTTGAAACTGCACTCGTCTCTCTTCTTCTCTGGAGTTTTCCACGTGAGCTGCAGAAGAGAAACACTGTCAGACTCATACTGGAGGTATAATACAGTGAGGTGGGTTGTATTCACATTGGACATCTGGGACCTAATCATATCCATATTGTACCTCTGGGATCCTGTAACTACATTCATATTGATACAATGCAGTGTATATATTACAGAGGTTCACAGGTGCTTGGCTCTTACATTTCTTTGTAGCTTGCCGGCACTGATGTCAGCGAGGTTGAGAGCAAAGAGGATCTCCCGAGCGCCAACGTACAGCGTGTTGTCTTCTTTACTGAGTAGGAGAGAGGTGAAGTTGAAGACTCCGCCGACTGAGAAACTTCTGGTTGTCCTCTCCTTCACATCTGGACAGAAACAGACAGAGGAGAAAACATATGGTGTAATTCATGGATGAGCCATTAGAAGCAACTGAGGACAGAAAATGCAAAAACAAGGCACTTGAATATGCAAATTAAGGCATTTCAATGGTTTTAGTGTGGCCATAAAATGTGATGAACACCACCGACTTTAGATATTCTATTTTAATTAGACACACCCGTCTTCGTATATATTTAGAAAACATTTTAAGCATTTCTTCTGGCATCTCTTCCTTTATCAGACAGTACGCAGTAGAGAGCTGAAAGGAGACGAGGTGGATGTCATGCAACGAAGGTCCCACTCAGACTCAAATTGGGGATTTCCAACTACATAGTTGACCTCTAGGCAACCAGGTTGCTCCAGATAAACATTTTTTGTTGGATATCAAAGTCATTTCACTCTGTTTCACGTCTAACATTGTTACTATAGACTTTGACTTTGTGGGGCTACAGACCTACTACTATTTATCTACTATCTACAGCACAGCAAAGGGTCATGCATTATTCAATACGAGAAAGGAAAACTGACGTATGATAAATGAATACTGATGAAGATAAATCAACGTGCCTGTGTTTCTGTGTGCAACTGCAACTTCTAAATCCTGTCAGCTCCTCATCAGGGAGAGAATATGTCTCATATTTCGCCTACAGTAAGTAAATGATTTGCTCCAACCACATTAACACCCCCGACTAAAGCCAAGGGTTAAAACATCAACTCTCATAATCACTGCTTTAAAGGCCCATTTGTATCTCAGATTTGCAGCAGCCTGGAGGCTTTCACTGCTGGCCCAGCTTGAACAACTTGCCTTAATTGTATGCCAGCATAAACAGAAGCAGGGAGCTGTTGGAAACTTGACGTGTACTGAAGCTCTGATACAGGACTTTTAAAAATAACAGACCAAAGCACTTTCTATTGAAGAAGGTCTCCTAATATTTCATGTTTGCAGAGGAATGTTGTTTTCTGTGAGCTATATATATATAAATGACTGCTCTAAGGGACTGTACAAAGATGACTGGGGTGGGGAGTGAGGCTGAGCATTATGTTTCACTTTAAAAAAATAACTAATAAAAGCAAAGCCCTGTCCAGAGTTAATAATATTTTCTTTAGACTCCAGCAAAGTATATCTTCCAAAAGCTCAGACTAATGTGATAAATTGGTTCAAATTATTTCGTGATTAATCACCAAAAGAGGCAAATCACATAATTTAGGATGGTGTACCCGAATTTAACCCTAATATCTTAATGGAACAATGGAGCTGAACTTAAAAAAAACAAAAAGTCATAGTCACACTTCCAATCTGCAATGCAAAAAAAAAAGAGATAAAGCATCATTATAAGAAGCGAAAGTCAGTTTACTATTGTCAGAAGTATTTTCACTTTCCAGAATCACAGGCCTGACGGATTCAAACTGGATTACAACCAGAGGTGCTGGTTGTAATAATTACAATTATAGCACTTCCTGGCATAAACTAATCCAGTCCAAAGAGGGTAAGGTGTCATTAAGTTGTATAATAAGCACACCATGTGGTCTATTCCCTGCAGTACGTGTGACCTGATGTAACCTCACCTCAGAGGTACAGGAGGTTGAGACTTCCTCTCCCTCAGGAAAACATTGTGTTAATAGCAGTCAATCGCCTTGGCAACAGCCATACTGTAGTTAAATCCGTCAGTAAAACCACGAGAGGCTCCGGTGTACTTTACTGTACTGTACATGGACGCATTGGGACAATTCTCTCTCCTTTTCACTATCATCGCAGGATAAATGGAGTGCTGTTTCGTCCCCCTACCCACCGAGTCTTCAGACATTTACAAAGAGAGAGACAAAGGCCAAAGCCTGAACCAAAACAAGAGCTTTGAGGGATTTCAACAGAGGTGGATATCAACACACTCTGGAGCCAGATTACCACTGTCATACTTAACGACCACAGCTGACTAAGAAAAACAATAGCGCCCCTAATTGAGTATCATTAAAGAGATCCAGGAGGGTTTGCAACCGCACAAAGCTTTCCATTCACAACTTCAGAAAAACATAAATCATCTACAGTGTGGACCTATTGGACCTAAGAATCGACAGGTCCGTCTTCAAGTGACAGCATCAAATTGCAGCAATATCTTTAAAGCTGCTCTCATCAACACTTTACTCATTTTATCGTCATGAAGGGAGAGGCCTTTATTGGTCTCACCTTTCACATGTTTGAGACGCCACGTACGTTTCAAACACGCTAACTGGCTTCTTCAACTTTAACAATATTCACTTTTAACAGTAACTTAAAAGTGATTTGAGGTCTTGACGGCATTGATGCAGCATAATATGTTGACATTGAACATACCATTAAGAGAGATGATCTATTCATCAATGAAGTCACTTATCAAGCAAATATGTCCAACATTCACTGGTCACAGCTTCTGAAATGTGAGGATTTGCTGCTTTTCTCTATTTATATTATAATGAATCAAAAAGTTTGGGCTTTAGGACAACTGTTTTCACTATAATATTCATATATGTAGAGTCACAAACTTCCTCAGGGAATATGACAAGGAGGATTTCTGTTGCAACCTTATGAATTGTCCATTGGCTGACTTTTATATGTTCTGAACCGTATGAGCCGTAGTCAAAAGCAGCAACACAGTCCTGAGACCACAAACCCCAGACAGAATAACTGCACGAGGTCGAACACTGTTCAGACTGTTAAGACTAAAACAATATCACTATCACAAGCTAATGATTGTTCCCTTCTTGAACTTGTCCTACTCTCCCCTCCACATATGCCACAGTCTCTTAAAGAATCCCCTCCATTGTTGTTTGACTGTCTGAGGTTTATTCCTGAGGGGCCATTTCATGACAATGCAGCCCCAGAAATGTTGTGGTGTATCAGAAAGAGGGGAAACAGACAGGACGGTTCAGAGGAAGCACTTAAGAGTGGAAGAGCAGTTTTTATCCACTGCAGCCACAGAGACAGGGTGCCAGAGAGGGCAGCCAAGTCACCTTCATGTCAACTACTGAAGAGGTACAACGTACAGTAACGCTACACCGTAGTTCATCTTCACTCTGTTAGAGCTCTTGTCCGTCTTGCTTTTTGTCTTGTCAGGGAACTTATTTAGAAAGCTTTGTTACTATAGATGGTCACCGCTTCAGGATGCCACATGAGCCTTTTCACAGTGACCATACAGGATATATGTAAGTTCTGTGAATGTCAAAACGGCTCCTAGGTTCAAACTTCTGCTTGAGTTATTTACAATTAAAGGGACGTTTCCAGACATGTTTAAAGGGTCAGTTCACACAAATTACAAAAAGACAGATGGACTGGTGACAAAATAAATTCCTAATAATTTCCGTTGCTCCATGTTACATCTGACACAAGTGCCAGAACGCTGCAGGTGCATGAAGTGACATAAGTGCATAACGTTTTTCTTTTAGAGAGAGATAGAGAAGGATCAAGAGATAGAGAGAGAGAGCATATTAGTTGAGTGAGTACTCTTGGAAGTGGAAAGTCTTCAAGTGATTATTGAAGTGATTATATTCTGCTGACTGACGCAAGTTCAGTAAGATGGTTCGATGCAGGACTAGAGGGGTCACTGAATGCTTTGATGAGTATGAAAATGATTTCAAACTTTTGCTATGAGATCCACAGTCCCATAATCTACCACACTGGACAGTGTGGTAGATTTTGGACTGAAGTTTAAAGATGGTGCTCTCCACCACCATCATCAAATTACAGAATTAGGGAGCATCTTTGGAAGAAAGTTATTCATCTTTCTAGTAGAGCAACAGATAGTTGGTGAGTCAATGCAGAGGCACAATGAAGCTGTCGATGGCCCAACATCTCACTCAGATACTTTTTCCTTTAACTGATCACCGATCCGTTCACTTACCCTGACTAGTGAGTGATTTTTATTCTTTGGTGCATTTAAAAATTATAGTGAGGAACAAACGCTCTTTATTGGACAATCAGACTTCGCTGTCAACATTTTTCACCAGAACTCTTTTCCACAAAAGAAGAAGTCCCAGTGGTGTTTGATGTGTCCTTAGTATCTGGGACATTGTTTCAAGAAAGACATATTATTGTAACTTTTCAATTCTTTGAACACCCCCTCAATTGTTGCTTGGGAGGTGATACAACTTTCCAGTTATCTACAGGGCTATGTTTTGTTTTAAAATCTATTGCCTATAGCCTACATATATTTGTCTATCTATGTGTCTATAGTCTTGTAGTTTGGATGACACATCTTTAAAGTAACTAATGCAACATTTCTACATTTCTCACAGAATGTAACTTAAGAACAGACAAGAACCAACTCAACTCCTCTCCGCTGTCTCTGCTTGACTGATGGAAACACGGGTCAAAGGTTAAGCAGGTATATGACCCTCTGTTCACACTTCACAAGCTGGGGGACTTTACACCTCACTGTTTGACCGTTACTAGACCTCTGATCCACAGAGAGCAGCTTTGTTTGGTTCAGAGCGCTTCTTTGACCCTCTATTGAAGTGCATACACTGCACACTCAGTAGTTCAACCTCTGGCAGCTGGAAGCAATGTGAGATCATTGCCATTATTATGTAATTAAAAGTAATTTCTGCAAATGACACTGCTAAATGGATTGAAACACTCGCCTAGACTGGCTTGCTAATCTATTTAGGGGGGGAAATTAATTATATTGGGCTTAAAGGAATCCTTCTACATTTTCACAGCTGATTTCCTGATGGGTCTGTGTCCCAAAAAAAGTATAAGGATTATTAAAAGCTTGGAACATCCCCTCTAGAGGGGAACTGTGGAGTAATTTGTCCTTTGGTGACAGAGATCTAAGTGCCTTCTATTGTAGGGCAACTATAACAGGCTGATTCAATCAGTGCCCTGCCTTATGAGGGAGCTGCCTTTATCGGCTCTTACAGCTGTATGCTCAGAAGATCAGACGACTGCATACCTCATTTAAAGCACCCGTTCTTGTTTACTTGCTGGAAGACTACAATAGAATGCAGTGACAATATA